ACGGCGTTTGTCGAAAGCTCCGAGTATTTGTGCGTTGTCACATGTTGAAACCACCTAGTTCGTGACGTATTACCTGTTTGTTGGAAAGAAACCCCAAGAATTGAAATTATGCTTTACGATTTCTGGCCTGCGCTGGACTTGAAGTTCCCAGGCAGCACGCTGACTTGCAGCAGCGCCACGAGAAGTTGACTGCAACTTGGTTGTTTCGTGATTAGCGCCATCGAGCGAGATGTTGACTGCGTTGTGCACACGAAAGTACTTGTAGTGCTTACCAAGGCCATGACAGGTAGTTAGTATCAGGCAGGCGCTAATCCTTTTGCCTCATCATTGGAGGAGTTTGGATCCAAAACTTTTCGCAGGCGGCGACGTGCCAGGAAGGCCAGCCTCAACACCGAACCCGGACCCCAAGTAATGTCCAATACGGACCAACCTCTAAATCAAGAACCCTGAGTGAGGCCAAGAACAAAGATGCCAGAATCAAGCTTCAGGGCTTTGGGAGCTAAGCCAAGCCCAGTGCCCAGCTCCATCTCCAAAGCGCCACACCTGTCAACCCATGGGCTTACCCTTGGAGCCCAAATAATCAGCCCAGGGCGAGCATTCCGTCGCCCTGGAGCAAAAGACGCGCCTGCAGCAGGCTTCGGTTTTGTTGGGGTTTGAGTACCAAAGGACTGTAGTCAAAGGCCTGAACTGAGGTGTCCGTATGTAGTTATACTCCTGCGACCTTCAGGTGCATCTCTACCTTTTTGCCTGTGCCAAAAACCATCTATGCACATCCAGTTGCTATGCTGACTTCTGGCTGTTCCCGTGAGATGTCTGGGACTGTCGTAATCCCGGCTGTTCACGGAGGAGGCTTCTGAAGTTCACTAGGCTAGTGGCCAGACAAGTGAGGTAGCGTGTCTGTGTGTGTATATATATATATATAAGTAAGTGTGTGTGTGTGTGTGTGTGTTTGAGTCTGTCTGTCTGTGTGTGTGCATGTCTGTGCCGTGTGTAGGTGGGTTGGTAGGCGGTTAGGTAGGCAGGTGTGTAGGCCCTAGGCGTGTGGGTAACGGAACAAGACAGAAGCATGTTCGGCAAGCAAGAGAGGAGTTCGAAAGCTTTCGCGACGAGTCATCGCGGAAGCTGCAAGCAAGCCAAGAGCAGCTGCTGAAGACGGCCTCTGAGTTGCAGGACCCTTGCTATTTCGACTTTGAAGAATGTCCACTTGGGAGGCTAGTGATCGCAGCTCCACTGACACACGTCCGGGAATGGAATTTCTTGAGAATGCACCTGATGTAGCCTAGTGTATGAGGGTCTCCTGCAGTCGTACGAAACTCCCTCGAGCAGTAGACGGGTTGCAAGGCCCCAGGTGGCAGCTGGTGTGTGAGTATGTAAATCTCATGGTCTGCTCTCTAAGAATGGGTCGATTGACAAGTCAAGTGCAGGTTTCCCAACCCGAAGGCCGCAACCCGTGACCCCGAAAGTTGCAAGAGCTTAGAGCCCGGGTCCCGGGCCCCAACACCTTCACGCAGGATGAGATGTCGCAGCAGCAGAAGGCGCAGCAAGCCGAGCAAGCTCGAGAACGAGAGCAATGGACTGCGGATCAGGCATGCTCTCCAGATGCAGGTGTGAGATTCTTCTTGCCTGTTGAAGCTTTCGACATAGCATCTTAGCATCCAAGTGTTCTGGTGCCGACGTTGGAAATGCTTACTGTGTACGAAGAAAGCATTTAACATCGAGCTGTAGGATGCTCTGGCTGGTGCGGCCGCAAGACATGGTTTCGATTTTTCTGTAGCCCCTCCATGTAAGAAGCCACATTGCAAGCTTGTCTAACTCATTAGACACTTTAGAGGGTCTAGGCCTTCGACCAGCTGATCAGCAGAGTCTGGGTTCAAAAGAAAAGGGTCGAAGTCCTCAGCACACCCTAAACCGTGAACCTTGGATCTGAGTCCTCTAATGTGTTTGCGAAGGAGTCAGGAAACCTGATCTCGACACACCTGAGAGGACAAACTGCGGCAAAGCCTGGCTGAGGAGTCTGAGCGCCACACGCCTTCGTTATTATTATTAGAAGGTACCACCACCAGTCTTCATCTTAGTATTGCTCTTATTACAAACATGATTTCCAATGCTGGTATTCTCGATTATAATTTTTCTTGTCAGCATGTTCACTGTAATTTGTTTTAGTACTATAAATACTAGTCTGATTCATGTGATGCTACACGGCTACACCCGTCGTTACTATTGTGCTTTTCATTTGTATTCTGGTTTCCTCTCAGTCGCTTCAGGGCTTTATGAGGGCCTTTCTTTAGAGGCTCTACGCTTTCAGGATGTGCGGGGTTGCGTTTTTTGGAGAGTGGTCCTTGTATTTTGTGGATCCCAATTTGGTGTCAAAGTAACGGTGGGGGGTCGAATGCCTCGGGGCTTTTAGGCCAGATTCAAAGGACTGCCAGGGGTTTCTAGTTGCCTCGGATCACAAGGGCAAGTTTCAGCACTGCCACGACATGGACAAGCACAACGCAATTCGGATGCTAGATTTGCCTAACACGTGCAGGTCCGAGTATGTTTTCATCCCAACAAGTGGCCGGAAGCTTTTGTCAAATCTTTTTTTGGCTGCACGAAGATGCGCTCTTGCGTGGTTGTGCATCCGTCATACGTGTAAGGCTCCTAAACTAAGCCCGAAGTCCAAGGCAAGCTGCAGCTGGAGAAAAACAACGCAGAGCTCGAACAGAGGCGACGCTTTGGTGTAGCATGCCGTGGGCAAGAGGTTTGGGCTTGGCTGCCGTAATACAAGTCCTGACCATTTACCAAGATGGTACATTCTAATCGTGAAGGGCCACTAGGCTGGTTTGGTGTTCCAGCTTGTCAAGTTATATATATATGTATAAAAGCTTCAACTACGACGACTACTAGCACCATAGGGCTACTAGTGTTAGCCGTTGCTTTTGTTATTACTGACTCCTGTTTTATTATTTTAATGTTACTACCAGCATGATTATTACTGTTCCTGTTGCGTTTGCATGAAACCCGAATCCTGTCCTCGAGCAGGATCGCCGACCTCGGCCGTGACAAGGCAAAGCTGAGCTCCGAAATCGAGGACGACGGACTTAACCCTGGCATAAGGATGGCTAATAACACAATAGTAATAATAGTAGTGGTAATCAACAAGTAATTACTGAAATAAACACAACAATAGTAGTAGTAGTAGTAGTAGTGATCACCGTAGTAGTAGCCACTACAACTTCAGCTGTCCTAACTGCCCGAATGACGCGAATCACTTTACACACCCTGAAATTCACGACAACAGTATACATATCTACAGGGGCTGCAAGCCAAGCGCCTCCGGTCAGCGCCTCGGACGCCTCAGTTCGTCAGGATGTTCTGAACAAATCCTCTGAACTCCGGGTCGGCGCTGAGCAGCGCCATGAGCAGATGGCAGAAGCTCACCGAGGCGGCGTTTGTTCTGTGAGCAGAGTTCGGTCCAGCCTTTGGGGGCGATCAAGGATGTGCCGTAGGTTCTTCCTAATCAGCGAAAGTATTCCGAGCGTCTGAGCCATTCGCACGTCATCTGAATATGAGCGGCTTCAAGAGGCTCTGGAATCCAAACATGTTGCAACCTGCCCGCCAGGATTCCTGGGCTCGGCTTGCACTGAAACTGTAAATTCGATTTGGGATTAATTGTTGTGGAATCCTTCACTAAGGCATGGAACGACCCAAACTCCGTGTGGGAGTTTATCATTCTGTTACTGCAGGCTTCATAACAAATGGCTGAACTCGGGCTGGGTGCCAGGATCGCAGAACCCCTCTTACTCGCAGCTTTTCACAACAAAGTCGAAGCTGAAGCCTCAGGCGTTGTCACCGGGCTGCAGAACGACCTGGAGCTCGAGCGGCAGCAGCGCTTAAAGGCCACCCATAGTGACATGAAGCATTGGGGCGAGCTGGGCAGGAAGGGCAGCAGTCGAGCCCCTTGTGAAAACGATGACGTGAAGCATGAGGATGGTGGCTTTTGTCCAGGGTCGGATTACGGCGTGCTGACAATGCTGTGAAAGCCGGGGTGGGGCTGGATCCTGGAATCGCGCCCCTTTTCTCAGGTTTGCACGGGGGGAAAAGAAAGTTCCATCCTCATGTATGAAAGAATAGAGAGCTTCTACCCGGTACTTAGTAAGATACACTCCACCAGCGGAAAGTTCCGGGAACCTTGCTTCACTTCTGCACTGATGTTACACGCTCTTTCCTGGGGCGAGCACAGGTCGAAGAAGAAAGGGCAGCCTTGGAGGAGGCGCGGCCGGGCAGTGATTGAAGTTATCGCATAAGTATTAAGACATTGAGCGTCGCAAACTTGACAGCAACACCTTTGCTATAGTAGTGGCAGAAAGGATGAAGAGGTCGGAAAGAACAAGGCAAAGAAGACAATCGCCGTTGTCATTCTCAGCAGCAGCAATATGTTGAGACGCCGCCTTGTTCGGCCATCCGGGAGCATGCATCAATTGTGCTACTCGTACGCTCGAGGGCCTGCTTCCCAATGGCAGTAGTTTTGGCTGGACAAGCTATATTATATGGGTGATGCTGCCCCCGGAGGCTTTGCGAGCCCAGAGGGACAAAGTGGCGTTCCTCGAGGAGGAGGTGTCGACTCCGGAACAACAGCAGCCACTCCTGCCCCTTCCCAGTAGCAGCGTGTAGTCGTCGTCGTAGTGGCAGGCGTCGGAGTAGTAGTAGTAGTAGTAG